ATTATTAAAATACCTTTCTCCCCAGCCTGGCACAAACGGCTCGATTAGTTCCGGCTTTGATGAAGGTCAAAGCCGGAACTATATGATAATATAGTTATTAATGAATATTTTTAAAAAACGAAATATCTCCCTTTGGAGTGGACTTTGAGATTTGTAACTTTCTAGATCTTTTTTATGCCCAAACATACACGCTACACACTGACTAAAATTAAAAAAGTGAAAAAGCATAATAGGACCCCTTTAAATAAATGTATTCTCAGATATGCTGCAGTATTATTTGTGATGTTTAAAAAAATAGTTTAGCCAAAAACGAAAATTTCTTGAACATTTACTCACCTTTAGGCCATCCAAGATATAGATGAGTTTGTATGTTCATGGGTACAGATTTGGAGAAATTTAGCATCCTTTGAACTCTTATTCTGACGGCACCCATTCACTGCAGAGGATCCATTAGTGAGCAAGTGATGCAATGCTAAATTTCTCCAAATCTGTTCCAATGAACAAACAAACTTGTATACATCTTGGATGGCCTGAGAGTTAGAATGTTTAAAAGAAATGTTCATTTTTGGGTGAACTATTCTTTTAAGAGTGGTTCAGTTAAAAAAAAAAAAACATTCAAAACACCGTATATGTTTCTGTAATTTCTCCCAGTAAGTCTCTTTTGGGCTTTCTCTTTGTTTCTTTTCTGTCTGCCGCCTTCAGTACTATAACATGGGTGGTATGCCGTCCCGAAACCTTAGTGATGATGTGTGTGCTGTGTGTGGTCAGAAGATTTTTGTGGATGTAGATGAAGAAGGCGTCATTGAGGACACCTACCAGCTCTCCTGTAACCACATGTATCCTTCATTTCCCCAAAACCTCGTCTGTTATGTTTTTCAACAGGAAACAAGATGTTTTGTTGTTACATGAAAAATTGTTGTGTACATGCTTAGCTAATTTAATCGATATGTGTTTCAAGGACTTTATTTTTTATTTTTTCTATTTATTGTATGAGGAAGTATAAAGTAGAAGTTTCTGCAAACATTTGTTTGTTTGTAAAAGGAGTCCATTTAGTCTGTTTATCCTTAACTGGCTATTATCAACAGATTTCATGAATTCTGTATTCGTGGCTGGTGCATCGTGGGAAAAAAGCAGACGTGTCCATACTGCAATGAGAAGGTGGACCTCAAAAGGATGATGAATAACCCGTATCCTTAAATTTTTTTGTTAAATTTATCATAATTTACATGCATGACATTCAGTTAAATAATTATAGTGTTCCCAGAGCACTAACACCTGCCATTCAAGTTTAAGGTTGGTAAGATTTAAAAAAAGAAATTTTTTAAACATCTCTTATGCTCACCAAGGCTCCATTTGTTTGATCAAAAATACAGAAAAGCAGTAATATTGTGAAATATTATTATAATTTAAAATAACTTTTTTCTATTTTAATATATTTTAAAATAAAATGTATGACATTAATGTTGAAAACAGTTGTGCTGCTTAATACTTTTATGGAAACCATTGTACATTTTTTTTCAGGATTTTTTGGTGAATATAATTTTCAGAAGAATAGAAGCAAAGTCTTTACTGTCACTTTTGATCAAATAAATGCATCCTTGCTGAATAAAATAATTAATTTCTTTCAAAAAATCTTGCTGACATGAAACTTGAATTATTGTGTATATCAGGGGTTTTCAAATATTTTATTTCTAATATATATATATATATATATATATATATATACACAGTACACACATATTATGTAAACAAAAACTTTTATTTTGGATACGATTG